TGCTAGCAAGGCACGTGGGGTCATGGGTGTTGGGAGTGTGCCCAGTATGTAGATCGTTACACTGAAGGTAGACTCGTGTTTTCATGTCTGTGATGCTACTGATGCATGTCAAAAAGCATTTTGAAAAAAAAAAAAAAAAAAAAAAAAAAAAAAAAAAAAAAAAAAAAAAAACAAAACCATCATAGATCATTTGAAATGGGCAACTCAAGTTTGCTTCCTCTATATTGGTTGTGTTTGATGTTTCTCTCTGCATAAGGTAGTGGCTCTTCTGGCTTTTGCCTGACTTTATGAGAAAGATGCCTATCCCCTGGGGAACGTGTAACTTCTTACTACCCCGGCTTTAGCAGCTTTCCAGATTTTCCATTAACAGGTTCAGGAACGCTGGGCTTATTTTGTTTTCCGGGTAAGCAGTTTAGAGCGTGTGCATTTCCCTACCTGTTTCCAGAGTGGTAGGAGGAGTCACAGGTAATTGGTTCTCCAGACACAAAGGAGGGAAATAACCTCCACCTTCTTCATGTAACAACCAAACAATTCTACAATGTACAGCCTGTGAATCAGGAAGTGTTTTAGATGGGAGGATACAGAGATCTAAATGATACTATTCTTTCCTCTAGGGACTCACAATTCACTACAGCTATTTCTACATGAAGGTTATGTTAATTAAATATGTGACGTTTTACAGTTGCCCAGAGGACATTGGAAGTCATTGTTCCACACATAAAAAGGCAGAGGAAGCCAGGATCACAAGCCAAATGGATGAAGTCAAGGGAGAATGAATCATTCCTTTCAGAGTATAGGATACCTGCTAGGGGGAGAGGGAAGCAGTGACTAATGAGGAGTGTGTTTCAGACAGCTTATCTGTGCCCTTCCATATTTCCCAGAGCCATGGTGGGACTACGAATACCAGCTGTAGATAAGATGTTACTGCCGAAGAGCAGCCCTAAAGATGCCCTCCCCCAAAAGAGTTTCTACATGGTTCTCAGAAAAATGCATAAATCCTTGCAGTGTCCTTTAGCAGGAGAAAAAGTAGACTTTCAGTGATAAGGTTGCCTTTCAAAGGCATTGGCACGATTTCCTACAATAAAGGCTCTTCTCCCTTTCTGCTTGTCCCCTATAAGCTGATAGAAAAAAACAGGACGTGAAACTCCTAAAAATATGGTGATGTAGAGCTGTAAAGAATCTTTGGAATGAGAGTTCTCCGAATGAGGCAATGTCTCTGTTATTTCTTCCCATTTTTTAAAAGTTCTTGAACTGCTGGGACGTGAAGAGGAGAGGCTGAGTATGAGGAATTACCGTGGAGAAAAGATCTGCCTGAAATGCTAGACTCCTCTTTCTTCGTGGCTTGTAGGGTATGTGGGAGGAGGTCCAAGACCTTGATCCTGAGTGAAGACCAGCGATATGGCACACGTATAGAACAGATGGTAGCTACTCTTACCATGATACTCTTTGGGCCACACATTATCTGGGGCTTGATGACCATTTGTAACTCAGTGTGATAGAGCGGAAGCTTCTGAGAACACTAAGATCGAAGCTATCAGTTCATTGTTGAGCAATGTTATAGAACTGACTGCATATAGGCTGAGCTGAGTAACCTTTCCGGGGTCGACTTGAGACATTTGGCTTGTGGGTCAGGAGTCTTCTGCGGAGGATAGTAGCGTGCTGGTGGCTTGTACTCCTGGCCTTTGCCCCTGTATGTTTTGTGTAGTTGGAGTCAAGCAGCCTGATGTCAGACTGGGAACTCCAGGCCAGGATGGATGCAGGAGCCCCTGGGCACCTGGGCTCAGGGCAAGGCAGCCCCTTCTCTTGACAGAAGATTGGCTTACAGCCTTCATTGGAGGGAGAGGAGTAGACTAGATACCATCTGTAGAGATTCCCCCTCTATTCCCATGTAGGTTATCTCATGGGAACTGCTGTTACTTTACTCCTGTCTGTTCTTAGCCATGACTTCCCTAGTGCCCAGCCTTGCTTAGCATTCCTAGTGGAGATGGAGCCAGCTTAAGGAGGTGCAGCCTCTGATCTGAATTAGACTGACCCAGAGGTTATGGAAAGGGCAAGCAAGCTGTGAGTGTGAGAACTGCCACCGCTTTATCATCTGGGGAGGATAATGGCAATAATACCCTGAGAGGAAAGGGTTTGAATATTCTGCAGCTCCCATCTCAGCCGCGCTATATGGCCCCACAGCAGGGAGCCTTTGATAAAAGTGGTTTCCTAGGGTAGGGAGTGAAGTCAAACTTGCTTGTAGAAGCATCTAGAGGTATGTTACTTTGTTATTTAGAGCCCAACAGGGAGACCACGACCATGAGGCTTCCACCTGCTGGACAGCAAGGACCTCCCGCAGCCTCCCAGCTGTCTTCCAGCTCACCCTCAGAAGCAAGGCTCCTATGGCTAACTGATGTATCAAAGATGTCATCACAGCCATCGATGGGGAAACTATCAGCAATCTAATGCACTTGGAAACTCACACACAAAAAAGCAAAGGCTGCGCAGAAAACATGACTCTCCCAGAAGCCAGATCTGAATATAAAATCTAGTCTCTTTTGGTGATGGTGGAAAGGAAGTGCCGTCCATACAAGATGAAGTTACCCTCTGAACCCCAGGAGGCCCTGCAGGTAGGATGTGCCTGCAGTCCAAGTGTCAAGCTCTTTACTGCCTCTCCTGCTCTCAGCACTGGCCCTGGGGTCATCCAAACCAGCAAAGCAACCCCGCCCGCCTCTCTTCTTCTGAAAACATCTCCAACTTTAATAACGCCTTGAGATCCCATATTGCCGGTATTTCAAAACTGCTGCCAGCAGGGAGGAGGCCAACGGCATGCCCATACGTGTTCAGCCTCCAAGCGGCCTCCTCATCAACAAAGAATCTGAAGTTTACAAGATGCTTCAGGAGAAACAGCAGCTGAATGAACCCTTGAAACAGTCCACCTCTTGCCTGATTTTGCAGGAAGTCCTGAAGTATGAGATAAAAGGGGATCTCCACAACCGTCCGGATTCAGAAATGTTAAAACTCCTGGCACCCAGTGGCTGCATCAGTTGGATGCTCAGAAGGTGCCCATGTGTGACAAACGCGGCCCTGCCAAGGCAGGCATGTTTGTAAAGCTGCAGGGACCGTCATCCCCTCCCTGAATGTTATGTGTGCAGTGACTGTGACGCTCACCCAAAAGAGAAGGACCTGTTTTCTTTTTTTTTTGGTGGAGGATCAAATCTGTGAAGAGCATGTCCAGTGGGGTACGATGTGGTCACCGTGCTCCCCAAGGGACCCGGCAGATCCGCACTGACCACTGTTCTCCAACCAGCCTCTGCTGTAGCTTGTTCTCTAAATGTCCTGGCCTTGACTCTTGAAAGTTCTGCGCTTGCCTTGCTTTTTGTTGTTGTTGTTGTTGCTGTTTCCCTTGCCTTGGTTTTACCCCTGCTCGTTGAATCTCGAGTCCCCTGTCTTGTTAACTGACTCACACTGACCATGTGGTGCCCGCCGGCCTCTACAATGACTGGCAGGCTGTTCTGTGCGGCGTCCGCTTGCCAGCAACCCTCGTACTTTCCCTCACGTCTCTGCTGCAAATGGACACCAGCCGCATTTGAACCAAATCAAATATAATATGTCTGACACTGATTTCATTTCTGCTCAATCTGTAGACTCCCAGAAAAAAGAAATAAAAAATAATAACAAAGAGAATTGAAATGAACACACAGACCCTTCTGGAACCCACTGTGACTCGAGACGTGTCTGCAATGCGAGGTTTCAGGCACACGCTGAAGGAGGATCTGCTGGACAGTCCTCCCCGCCCCCAGGTCCTTACCAGCCTGTGTCACTGGTGCTTAGTTTTCTTGACTTTAGGTAGACCCTGATTTAAGCAAGACTCTTTAATATTTGAGAGCTTAGAGCTTCCAATTAAAATATGTTAAAACTATTTTTTAAATGTTGCAGCGTTACAAGTTATAAAGTAATCAGACGAGCTATACTACTCAGAAAAGGTAAATTTAATGAATGTAGGTGTGGCCATCATCTCCTGTTTACCCGACAAAGCCAATGCTTGGCTCTTTGAAAAAGTTTCTGGATTCTTGCATTGGGCTCCATGTTTCCGTGTTCTTCTACAGTGTTTGTACAGTTTTGCTACTCATTGATTCCTTAAAAGGCTTAAGCAGTTGAGTTCATCTGGTCTGCTGATTTCATGGGTCTTAGGGAAACAGTGTTCTCTTTCGACTTTCCATGCCATGAGGGCACTGGAAGGACAGCCTCCGCAACGTTCCCTTCTGTTCTCTAGAGGGCAAGGGCACGGTCTGTTCTGTCATTTCTCCAGGCCTGGGTGGGTAAGAGCTGGCGACAGATGGACCAGCAACACGAAGTTCCCTTTGTGTTCTCCTTTAAAGCTGTGTGCCAGGAACACAGCATGAAGTTTTAGTTTGTATTGGTTAAGCTCCAAGGACCAGTCCATGTTTGGGAAATTGAAGCGAGCATGGGCAGGGTACAGAAAACTACTTTTCTCACCAGGTCTCAAGCTGTCCATCTCCACACCTACGCAGCAGAGAGCCAGAGGTAGAATCTTCGAGGAGTGGGTAATGCTGGCAATAAAATGCAGACCTACATAATGTGAAACACACATGCAGAGTTGTTTTGTAATCTCAAGTTCTGGATCCAGGCGCCAGTTCCACTTCGAAGTGTAACTTTGAAATGTGACAAAATAGATTTCTGAACCACTTTCTTCATTTGAATAATGGGGATATTGGGCCTCCTTAGTTCAGTAGGTAGTTGTGAGAATCAAATGGGAGAATGGATATGGGTTGACGACAGTTGCTGACGGTGATATGGTCTTTCTATAGATTGTTACTCATTGAATCTTGTACTTTTTTTTAATGTAGCTCTAGACTTACAAGTTGCAGTTGGTTCTTTTTCCACTTGTGCAGCAAGTGGAATTTGGCACTGGGGTTCTGACAGCACACACGGATTTTTGGACTCACTCGGTTTTGTAAAAGATGGCTCAATCTCTCACGTGTCCATCTGTCCAACAGCATACCCTGTAAAAAGTGTGTGGTCGTTGGTAATGGAGGAGTTTTGAAGAATAAGACGTTAGGAGAGAAAATCGACTCCTATGATGTAATCATAAGGTAAATATATTTTCTATTTGCTACCCTAGAATTGTTTCAACAGAATATGATTTCTTGTCTTAATACAGCTGTGTTTTAAAAGGAAGGGGAGCTGTTTCCATTTGTTTGTGTATTTTATTGCACAACCTTCTCTCTTGGTTGTTGGTGAGAGTTAGGCCTCGTTTTCAGGTTACTCACTGAGCAAGTATTTGTCAAGTCTCCTTAGTGTGCTGGCTCGCTTGTAGCCACAGGGGAGATAGCAGCGGATAAGAACAATGTTTGTGTTCTCTGTGGAGGGAAGAAAACGAGTAATTAAATATGGAAAAATAATAAATGTCAGGCATAATTTAAAAAGGTTGTAATGGAGAATCTTTGAATGGCTCCTTTGAATGATTGACCACTTAGAGAAAGAGAATCTAAGCAGGGCCCAGGTGACCACGCAGTGACAGCCACATGAAGATGATGGCAGAGCAATCTAGGCAGAAAGAATGTCTGCTGCGGGGTCTCAGGAGGAGGTGATCCTGAAGTTGAGAGGAGCAGCAAAAAAAAAACAAAAAAAAACCCAGTGAGGCTGGAAAGCAGCAGGTGGAGGGAGAATGGTGCAACTGGAAGCCGAAGCAGTGAGCAAAGATCAGGCTGCAGAGGACTTGAAAGCCAGGATTGGAAACTTGGACTTTAAGTATAGCAGGAAGCTTTTTAAGGGTTTTAAGCAAGAGAACAGTGCAATCTGCTTATGTCTTTTATATACGCTGGCTGTGGCATGGATAATGGAATGTGAGGGACGGGTGGAAATGAAGAGACAATTAGGTTGCGGTATTCAGGTATCACATGATGATGGCTTGGGACAGGATTGTCATAGGAGAGGAGGAGATATGTGGACTGACTGCAGATGTGTTTTAGACATGGAGTTATCAGGATTTGTTGCTATTTTAGATGTGAAGAGTAATGAGAATAAAGAAATCAAGGATGCTGCCTCCTCTGTTTTCAGCTTGGGAGATTGGCTGGAGAGTGGTATCATTTATTGCGTTGGGAAAGACTGGTATAGAAGCCAGTTTAGAGGAAAACCAAGATTTCTATATGAACATGTTAGATTTGAGATGCTTATTCGATTTGCAGTGGGTATGTCCACAGGCAGTTGGATACACAGGTTAAAATCTTGATGGTATGTGGCCGATAAGCTGTATTTAAACCATGGACTGGGTGAGATTTCCCAAGGAGACACTGAGAGAGAAGAAGGTGAGGACTGAGCCTTGGAGCACTCAACATGTAGAGGTTGAGCAAAGAAAAGAGGATGCATAGCAATAAGGTAAGAAGAAAATCAGGAGAAAGCGATCACAGAAGCCGAGAGAGCAAAGCGTTTCAGGACAGAGGGAACAACCAGCTGTGTCCCAGTGCTGAGAGGTCATGCAAGATAAGGACCGAGGGGTGACCGTTGGACTGGTGACCTGAAGCTCGTTGATATTGATAAGAGCAGGCGTAGAGGCCTGATGTGGCAAGAAGCCCGGCTGCAGTAGGCTGAAGAGGGAATGCGGAGAGTGTACACGTGGATATACACAGGAACATGCAGAGAAACCAATGTAGTCCAAAACTTCTGCTTCAAAGAGGAGTTGAGAAATCAGATGGCAGTTAGAGATGGTTATGCAATTGGAAGTTTTTTCGTTTGCTTTTCTTTTGAAAAGATGGGGGGCGCTACGGCATATTGGTAAACTGGTGGAAATGAGAAAGATTGGTATGGTGAGAGAGGGGAGGGGGTGCAGAACACAAGTGCAGTTAATCTTTTGTAATGGAAAGAGAGCCAGGATTGTGGTCACAACTACCAAGAGTCCCTCTGATGTAGTGATGGGAAAATAAGGATCTTTCTAGCTCTATTTTTTTAGGGAAAGGTTGAGATAAGGTCCTCCTCTGGGATAAGCGTGTGTGCGTGTTAGGAGTAGCTGTGAATCGTTTAAAGACTGGCAAGGTTAGCATATTGAGGCAGTGCGTTAGGATGGCCTGGCAGTATTGAGGGTTTCGTGGGGTTATAAGCCACCTAGCGTTTCTGCATGGAGAGGTCACTTTATTTTCTGTTGACTGTTCATTTTGAGGAAGCTGTGATAATTTACCTACAAAACAATTTTGAAGCAATCACAGGTGTCTCTACCCATAATTGTCTAAATCTGATAATTTAGAACCACAGGAAGCCCTTACACGAAAATGCCATTGGTACAACATTTTGAAAGTCATCTCAAGTGTTATTACATAGAGTCAGTGGCAAAGGGTAAAACAGTATTTATCCTCCTAGGGGACACTGTTTTGCAAACAAAGCATTTCTTTTTCTTAGCATGCCTTCATAATGTGTGCATAAATAGTGCATGTCTAACCTTGCTTTTGAGCATACACAAACCCTACAGTAGATTTGTTGGGGTTCTTTAGTTCACCCTAGCAGTTGACATTCATTTGGTTGTGCTTGAATATAATATAGCAATTTTATATTGTTAGCTTTATTTCAGAGTACAACAATTTTGATGGGCCTTTAAGCCAACTTATGTGTGATTCTTCTTGCCTGTCAGTCGCACACATCCCTGTGCTACATGACTGTGTGGCCTTGAGCAAGTAATTTTCTCTCCAGGCGTTTGTCCTCCAAGGTCTCTTTCAGTTCTGGTATCCTGTGGTTCTGTGTTCCCATTTCTTTTATTTAGTCTTCAGTTCCCCTGGAGGTAAGACTGAATTATCATTGGCTCCACAATTAATTTTCAAATACGGATGAACATTTCTGCCTCCGATCAAGCAACTATCTCATGAAAAGGAATGCTCTCCTTGGCCATTATGTGTGAAAGGTTGATCTGTGGCTTTGCAGTTTCAGAGCACAGGATAAAAGGCTGATGTTTACCTGACTCTGAAGCTTCTGAGAACTGTGATGGCCATGGCACATTCTGCACTTGATCTACATATCTTGTGTGTTTTACTACCCACAGAATGAATAATGGTCCTGTTTTAGGACATGAAGAAGAAGTTGGGAGAAGGACAACCTTCCGACTTTTTTATCCAGAATCTGTTTTTTCAGATCCCATTCACAATGACCCTAATACGACAGCAATTCTCACAGCTTTTAAGCCACATGATTTGAGGTGGCTGTTGGAATTGTTGATGGGTAACAAAATAGTAAGTAGGCAAAATTGTTTTTCCTTTAGATTACCTTTAGTATTTTTTTTCCTTTAAAAAAAAAAAGCCACATTGTTGTGCTTTCTATATTCTTTCTTTATTTCAGAACACTAATGGTTTTTGGAAGAAACCAGCCTTAAACCTGATCTATAAACCTTATCAAATCAGAATATTAGATCCTTTCATTATCAGAACAGCGGCTTATGAACTGCTTCATTTTCCAAAAGTGTTTCCCAAAAATCAGGTATGTATCTATCTCTGTGTGGCTTCAAACTGCTGAGATAGGATAGAGGGTCCTGGGAACTCTCAAAAACTGTCAGAACCACAGCTCATGAGATGGTTTCTGAGGGCCATCTCTGAGTTAGTAAAAGTAGTTATCTGTGGATATTATCTTTATGATTTTCATTTACATTTCAAGGAAATATACTTTTAAATTGTTTTTTTTTCCCCCCTGCCCTTTAGGGCCTTCCTGGGGTCTTTTTGTGCATGCTGAAACAATTCATCTTTCATAACTGTCTTCTGTGTTCTGCAGTGAGGAGAGTCTGACTGGGTGGGCTGATGGGCAGGCTTGTGCTCAGAGTAGCTGGCCTGGCTTCAGAACGAGTGCATGGCTTTCCAGGCTAAAAAGAACTGTCAGTAAAGTAGTCCAGAAACATTTCTGTGGTCATAGGACATGTTGGCACTGATTTCTCAAGAAATGGTAGTTACAACAATATTGAAAGAGATCTTGAAACTCCAAAATGAAATCTCACTGACTTTCACTCCTGTTTGCCCACTTTACCTAGAAAACCACACTCTAGACCCATACAGGGGCAGAGATGTTTTTCACTGGAAGCTTGAGTAACTGTATAATATGATACCTTAGTTGAAATGAGCTTTCCCCCCTTTTTAAAGTAGGGAAAATTCCAAAGAAATAAATATACATCATGTATTTTTACATGTATTTTCATGATTATATATAGCATGGTAAAAATTGTGAATAAGAAATTTATATGCTAAAAATAAATTAGTGTTACACACTGAAAATCAAGTAACTTAAAAGGAATATATAAAAATCAAAAAGAAAGTCACCATTCTTTTCTCTTCCCTCTATAACCCATGTCATCTCCCAAGCTTTTCTGTCTTTTATGTGCTTCCAGACTATTTGCTATGTTTCCAGATACATACACATACCCTTGTTTATTCAATGTAATTATCATTATACTACAGACATTGTTCTGTTCTTTTCTTTTTTTCCCTTTATTTAATTCTTCTCCTATTTATAAACACTCAACTGTATCCAGCATTTTCTTCTCTTTAAATAATGTAGCAGTACATGTGCTGATAGGAGTTTTCTGCCCGTGTGTTGGATTTCTGTAGGATAGATTCCTGAGGATGGAATGCTCAAGTCAAAAAGCATCCATCATTTAAATTTAAAGCTGACTTCCTAGTAATTCGGATGCTAAAGGACAGCTTCTGAATGTGTGTTTTGTGACTTTTCAGCTCCTATATTCCTAAGTGAAGTATGATCAGGTGTATCTTGGTTCTTCATTTTAGGTAATGTCTTTAATTCTAAAAGCACAGAAAGACCCTGAGCATGCTTAGTGATGACATTAGAACTCGCCGTAGCTACGTTAAAAGTCCCAGTAGGATATGGTGTCCCAGAAACCAAATGAAAACATTGCTGTATTTCAAGGGAACTCAGCCATGTCCAATGCTGTCCAGAGGCTGAACATCAATAGTAAACCCTGGTTTTAGAAATGTGGAGGTCATACTGGTGATATATATTGACAACAAGAAAGAAGGAAAACGGCTGCCTGAATGGGGTTGAAGAGACCCTGGAACTCATACGAGCAAGCAGCAACAAATTTTTAGTGGACTTTTTGCTAGAATGAGGATCAGAGAAATGAAGCAATAGTTAGATGATACAGGATTGAGGAAGTGTGTTTTGTTCATTTTTGCTCTGTGTGTATGTTGAAGGGAGTGATTGAGCAGAAAGAAATATTCATGATGACGGGAGAAAGGTAAGTACAGAAGACAAAGTGTTGAGATATGGGATAAAACATGCACTAGTGAAGGGCTGCTGAAGTGACATGTCATCCATTATAAAAGGAATAAACACTGTAAATATGAGTGAAGAGATGTTAAGATGGTAGATTTGGAGGTGGGAAGATGACGTCACTCTTTTGACTGCTTTTGTTTCCTTAAAAAAAAAAATAAAGATGAAGTAGGCAAATTAGGAGACTGGCTGTTGAGGATACAAAGTTACAGATTCTCATCTTGGAATTTACTATTATTCCAAACAGCATTATTCAAAGTTATAAATTCTTCTCATGGAATTAGTAGGAACGGAAATTTACTAGTCAAATGTAACTGGATTGCTGGGCATACTTAATGCCTACTTGAGAGTTGGGTCATAAATTCAGCATTCACCCAGGTACGCCTGTTTCTCTCTTGCCCTGTTCTGTTGCTGGGATGTGGGGACAGGGTGACTGCAGTGCTTCTAAGAGTTTGTCAGGTGATAAAAGAGGTTCTGTGGGTGATGGGTGCAGAAGTGCTGGTCTAAATAAAGGAATGGTTATGTAGACGGATGCAGGACTCTTAAGTTGTGAAGAAAGTTAGTAGAAGACATGAAAAGGCGTAAGGAGAAAGGAAGAGTAATGGGATGAATGACGCTGAATGACTCCTAGGTTACCATGGTACATAGCATAAAGAAAAGCTTATGCTGAAGGCAGTTTAGGCTTTCAGACAAGTTTGTGTCCTGGAATTGATTTGATTTGATTGTGCCTCTTCTATGTTTTTCTTTTCCGCAAAATCCTAATAAGTCACATGTAATTTCAATGAGAACTCTAAGAAACACTTAATTGAAAGTGTTGTATAAAAGCTTAATATATATCTTAATTTTTCTCTTGTAAGGCCATCTCAGTGAGAATTAAAATTTCTGAAATACCCTCTTGTCAAATATCTGTCACACCGGTTTTCAAGATATATGTAAGATGAGGAAAGAGGATGCTTGGTTTTTCTTTCTAAAAAAAAAATAATGGTGCAGTTGAGATTGTGACATTGCTATGTATGCATTTGGAATATTTATTTTCTAGTCAGATACTATTACAGTTTGTCATCGAAGTGCTTGATTAGTCTTTCCCTAGAGTTAGTTTAAATGGAGAGTATAAAATACAGCTATTTTAAGGCGAATTTATATGTAGTCTTTTATCATGATTTCATCCGTTCACGAATTAAGCTGTCCTCACATTTCATACATGTGTTCAAAATTCCGAGGCTTTGCTTTTGCCATAAGGAGCCCGGATCATCAGGTTTTTAAATTTTTTATTTTTTTTAAACAATGCAGCAACATTTTCTTAAGCCTCACAGCATTCTCTCATCTGACAGTTGTCCTCTGGGATAATACTGCAGTTATATTTTAATTTAAAGACTTCCTAGGATTTCAGTCACAGTTTTTTTTTTTTTTTTTTTAAGAGTTAAGGTATCCATGTATACTCTTTGGGGGCTTCAGCCTTATAGTGACAGTTTATTTCTCTCATTATTAAACATTTAGAAATCCCAGTTTTATATGATTTGGCCAGCCAAATATGCTTTGGAAACAAGTAGCCCCTTTTACTTAAAATTTTTTTTTCATTCCCTCCCCCAGAAACCCAAACACCCAACAACAGGAATTATTGCCATCACACTGGCATTTTACATATGCCATGAAGTTCACCTAGCTGGTTTTAAATACAACTTTTCTGACCTCAAGAGTCCTTTGCACTACTATGGAAACGCTACCATGTCTTTGATGAATAAGGTAATGTACTATATTTAAGGTAATATGTATATGCTTGGGACTCATCTTTGGGGAATGGAAAGCCCATATTTTCCTCTTCTCACACTCATTTTACTGAGGGACCAGGGGTTGAGGGATTGAGGGCTTGATGGGGTTTACAGAGCTACTAAGGGCTGCAACTAGAACTCAGGTCCAGGGTTTTACTACAGCACCAAATCCCAATTTATGGGCCTCATGGTTATTACCAAGTGTCATCAATCACATTTAAGTACAGAATCTTAGATATTCTATCATATTTGCACAATTGAAATACAGCAACTGTTGTGTTTGCGAGATTACAGATTCGCGTTGGATTGCTATGCTTAATTATTCTCATGCATTTGTTTTTAAGTAGCCAAGATGGACTAGAATATTTTAATCCTACAAGAGAATCTTCATGGTCAAAAAGGTTAAAAACCTTCATACTGGATCATACTTCTCTTGAGTAGGGATTAATAGTGAGGTTTTTCATTATTACTAAACAATTTTACTTAAAAAAAATTTTTTTTTGAGAGTCTCACTGTGTCGCCTAGGCCGGAGTGCAGTGGCGTGATGTCGGCTCACTGCAGCTTTTGCCCCTCCAGGTTCAAGCGATTCTCCTGCTTCAGCCTTCCAAGTAGCTGGGATTACAGGTGCCTGTCATCATGCCCAGCTAATATTTTTAATTTTGTTAGAGATGGGTTTTTGTCATGTTGGCCAGGCTGGTCTCGAACTCCTAGCCTCATGTGATCTTCCCACCCTAGCCTTCCAAAGTGCTGGGATTACAGGCATGAGCCACTGCAGCGGGCTAAGGATTTGTATTTCACTTGACTAAGAAAGTTTCCTAGTTTTCTAATTTGAACCTAGATGAGTAGTGCATCACAAGTGGTAGGATTAAAATGTTACCTGTGTACTTTCAGTATTGAAACATTACTCGATAGAAAGTATGGATATATTTCATGAAATCAGTCCCCTTGAACCATCCCACTATATTGAGGAGGCGGTATATAAAGCAGGTTAGATTTTAGTATTGTCTTTTGTCCCCCACCCCCACCCTCTGTCCCCACCATGTAGGACAAGCACTTAGGTACTTATTTTAAGAAGTAGGTGCCCAACAGACTTTAGATGAGGCTTATTTCTCCTCAGCCCTGAACTTTCCTGTGGCACTTGTGATATTTCAAGTGTCATCTAAAGAGGAGAATATTAAAACAACTTCCTGAGGAAGAAAATTTGTCTATTCATTTATAGAATAATTTTTTTAACGTATCTTAAACTGAACCAGGCATTGTAATAGTTTAGGCAGGCTTTTTTTTTTTTTTTTTTTTTTTTTTTTTTTTTTTTTTTTTTTTTTTTTTTTTTTTTTTTTNGAGTTCTAGGGGCTTCTCTCATTAAAGTGAACAACTCACAATTTTACTGTCCAGATTTGTATTGTACCATGATTCGGTCTACCAGGGTTTGATATGAAGGAGCCTTACATATGTGAGAGTTTAAATGGAAAGAGGGGGCTGTAGGGAAAACTTTTGCACAAGAACCAGCAAGGAAAGAAATTTGAAAGGCAATCAAAAGTTTAAAGTACATGCAACTTGTTACTTAACATTCCAGTTCTTTATTCAGAACTTTTTAGATATAAAAAATTGCTGCTGCCCATACTTTGAGATTGGGAAAGATGGTAATTGTATTTTTCTTCCTTAGAACGCATATCACAATGTGACTGCAGAGCAGCTCTTTTTGAAGGACATTATAGAAAAGAACCTTGTAATCAACTTGACTCAAGATTGACTCTACAGACTCAGAAGATGAAGCTAACAGTGTTAGTTTTATTTTTGTACTGCAATTTTTAGTTTAAAATACATTGGATGCACTCATCAAATAATTATGTATTATATTGTCTGTTGCTGCCTGGTGATTCATAACCACCAGCTTAATTTCTGTGAATACCATATATTTAACTTATGAAAACCAAGAAATGTTTAGTGACGGTATCAGGAAAATGTTTTGATTGCATTGTGTTTTTAAAATAAGCTAGTTTTCTGAGGTGTTTTTACACATCTTTTTATAGTTACTTCATCTTGGACTTTTGAAGGGATATGACTTCTACTGAGGATTTAGTTTACCACAACAATCTTGACTATAATAAGACATTTTCAGAAGTATATTTGGCTACTGTAAACATGGCTGGTGGGGAATCACACATGGCTTGATGTGGCAAACTGAAACCACTTGGCTATGGAAATGTAAGTTCATACTGGTTTAATTAAGCTCTCCCCGACAACCCCAGGAATTAAATGAACCATGATTGTGATGAGTAATCTGGTACAATGAAGCAAGTGGTGGTAAGTTAAAGGAAATAGGCTAAGCATAAAGTTCTGGTTAAGTATATAACTAAAGAATAGAATTACTACAGTCTGATGGCTTTGTATTATTTTAAAGACATACAGTTTAATTTTATACAATGAAGCTAAGCTAGACAAACTCAAGAAGGAAAGAAAAATCTTGAACTTTTTTTTTTTTTTTTGTCTGGTTTATTCATCAAATTTTGAAGGTTCTCCACTTGGAAGTAAATTAGGAAAGGTAAAGAAGACAAAAGAACAAGTAAACACTTAAGAAAAGTCAAGCTGAGGCTGGGCATAGTGGCTCCCACCTGAAATCCTAGCACTTTGGGGAGACATGGAAGGTGGTCAGATTGCCCGAACAGGAGTTCAAGACCAGCTGGGCCAACATGGTGAAACCTCTTCTCCACTAAAATACAAAAAATTAGCTGGGCGTGGTAGTGCACGCGGTAGTCCACGCTACTCAGGAGGCTGAGGCATGACAATCACTTGAGCCAGAGAGGTTGCAGTGAGCCGAGATTGCGCCACTGCACTCCAGCCTGTGTGACAGAGACTATCGTCTTTAAAAAAAAAAAAAAAAAAAAATCTCATTTTCCCATGATTAAAGCTAATCTTCAGATGGAAAGCTTGCCTGGCTACCTAGGGTGCACCAGAGAATCTGATCCAATGCAAGCCAGTCAATCCTACAAATGTGGTAAGCTAGTCTCCTTAAATTTTACTACATATAACCAAAGGCCATTTGGAGGTGGGGGAATGAGAGGTGAAGGAACAGAACTTGTATGGATGGAATAGACCTTGTAAGGATGAAACTAAAAGAAGTTGTTTGAAGATGTTATGAGCTAAGAAAGAATTACTGTCTTTTGAACAATAAATATCATTGGGAAACACTGGAAAACCATGGTTTGATTACTGACAACCAAGCTAGAAATACATTAGACTGGGTTCAGAAACAGGAATGCAGTACTTAGGATGAAGGGGGGGGAGGAGGAGTCGTTGATTTAACCCAGATCAGACATTCATTATGGACTGTGTTTGAGTAACACCAGCATATGTTTAGCGTATGTTTGCAGAGGGCCACAGTTTTGATTCTTCTTAGAACTTTGCAAAAGCCGGAACTGGAATCACATGTAATCAGTGTGCCTTCCCCTCATACCACACACCCATAGGCTGCAGTGTGGCTGCTGAAGTTCAGCTGATACAAGGTAAATCAGGCTTCAAAAAGGATGGTGCTGTGGGTGCACAAGGACATGACATAAAGATGGGAACGACAGACACTGAGGACTGGGGCAGGGGGAAGCGGTGGGGGGAGCAAGGGCTGAAAAACTATATACTGGGTACTATGCTCACAACCTGGATGATGGGATCATTCATACCTCAAACCTCAGCATCACACAATATACCCATGTAACAAACCTGCATACGTGCCTGTAGAATCTAAAATTTAAAAAGTTGAAATTACTGGAAAAAAAAAAAAAGATAGTGCTGGTCATAGAAAAAGTCAAAGTAAAAAACTAATAGTGGCATTTTCCAATGTTGCTGGAAGCACAGTATTGCTATAAATGAGTGATGTTAAAATTGAGGAATCTGGCATCTTTTACAGTATAGGGAAGAGCTACAAACCTCAAAGTTGTTTTATTTAAACCAAATAATCTGAGCAAGACATATATACAATTTATTAAAAACAAATGAACACATTAAAATTTCACTATTTTACAATCTAAATTCTAGCAACATATACAAATAGAGTGACTACAGTACATGCCGAGGTAAGAAAAGTACATTCTGGGAGAGTATCACTGACGCTTAAACCATTTTTATTTCCAATATGTACTTCAACACGTTTGTTTCCACTTTTCCCAGTGCCACACACAGAAAAAAGTCACAAGTTGGATTACATGAGAACTGGTGCCACAGTTGACTTCAAAAGCATTTTATTAACCATCCAACAACTCTTAGATTTTGCAGTTTAGGAACTTCAAGTTCAGAACCAAAAAGCAGAGAATCGTTTCATCTGACGTGATGTTTCTATAGACTTCTTGCTCTCTAGCTGACAATGTAGAGCCAGGGCAAAGGTGTCTAAGCTTTGTCACTTTCCACAGCTTTGTGGCCACATTCATATTTAGATAAGCTCAGATTCTGCTCCCCTCTCCTGGGAAGGGCGGGGAGAGGCAAGTGTGTATGTGTTGTCATAATTACTGCATTAATTCTTCACTCAAAGCATTTACATCAGCGAATAAACCCATTGTTCAATGCAAAGTGCAAATAGTGAAACATGAACTTAAATAAACTGGACTAGACCCAGCACATACAACAGGATCTGTTTAGATCTACAGCATTTAATAAAGTATAAATCAGAATTCACAATATCTTAAACTGTGCTGTTTCCGAAGATCAAGTAACAGCCAAGTCAGGGTAATTTTATGAAACCTGTAATGGCCTCATTTGTTGTGTCTCTGTCTGATGTATTTCTATAATTGTATTAACAAGAACAAATTTAATCCAATACACCAGTGGCTTTGAGTCTTAGATGTTGGAAGCAAAAGATAACAATTAAAGGGAAATATTGTCAAATATGGTTACTTTCACATTTTCAGTTGTTACTTGATTGTCTCCAAAGCTGTGTATATCAGACATATAAATGTGGTAAAAAACAAAAACAATTAGAAAACCTCTACTATAAAAACAAATGATTAAAGTACAAAGCAGAAAAACCATTTGAATCAGGCTCAGCTCTTCATCTGGAAAGTAAAGTTTATATAAAAGTAGTAAAAACTAGATGTTTTATAAAAATTATTGGTAGTCCAAAGCAGTATGAATCGAGTCTTAAAATATGCATCATTTCAGAAAACACTTGGTTCTCTTAAAAAAAAAAAAAAAAAAAAAAAACTGAACAACAACAAAACTCCAGGAAAACAATCAGGTATACACAATTACATGACAATAGCAAACTTCTTTGGGAAAATGACATACTTATCAAAAGCATCATCTCTCTTAAAGCTTCAAACAGGTATATTACTTGAGGAAAAGCATATTCTCTGTGTACTAAGCATGAATTAAAAAATCAACTGGTTTGCTGTCTTCCCACCTGAAAGGGGATGACTGTGTTAATACATGTGCTTTACACATTGCATGTATGTTTTAATAAAAGCCTAAAATGTATGTCTTTTGTTTCAAACATTTTGAAACAAATTATGTATTGATTTTTCAATGAATGAAATTGTGCCTCAAAGTTTAGAGAAGGAACAGCCAATGAAAATAAGGCCAACAAAACCATACCACAAAAGGGCAGGAAGTCTGCAGAAATAAACAGTTCTCTTTCTGAAGCAATGTTTTAGAATACTGATATAATTCATGGAAGCAAGAAAACTAATACTGTTCATCTGTATTCAAATTGAGTGAATTCTGGCAACATCACAGTCTGGTGGCTCAGGCCAACAGAAGTGACAGGAACTTTATGGAAAAGTACTGTTCAACATTAAGTCTACAAACGAAGGTTTATGGAAGAGGGGATGTCAAATTTATATACTTTTATCATGTGGTAAGCTGCTCATGGTCTTGCCCGTCTAAAAGATTGTTTTACATTGTTGGCTAATAAATTATAGATGATTTCTGTTTTGCTGTGTCTAAAACTAGCTCTGGGCAGGTATGAACAAGTGGTGACATGGAAGCTGCCAGGAGGTATCAAACACAAGGCAATGAATATTCATTTGCTAGGAAGTTATAATGTCTGCTCCCGAGGTGACATACAGGATTACTCACACCTCTTACCACACAAAGGGCATGATCATGCCGTCCTGAAAAATACACATTAGGTTTATATTTTGTGTAACAGTTTATGGAAAATTAAAAATTTTATTGACTAAAAATAATAAAGTACCTTGAGACTCAAGAAAAATGTATATGTTTGTGTGTGAACGTATAAAACCAAAAAGGACAAAATCTAGTTACTTTTTAAAGAGGTAATTTATATTACTTCTGAGTGAATAATTTTGCCTTTCACGGTGATAAATGTAAATGGGTCATGTTTACAGTACCCCCTTCGAAGCCCTTGATTGTTCATAACTCTCCTAGGAACAATCCCATTGCAAATAAAGTTGGGGGTAGAACAACCTCCTTAAAAGCTCTCAAATTGTAAAGCTGTTCCTATTTCCACATGGGGAACGTACTTAAAGACAAGAAACGATCTGAATTCATGTGACTGATAAGGCAAGCATCACTCAACAGAAATACTCAAACATTTTATAAACACAAGAATGGGGCAAGCCACCAAGGGCCTCAAGTGGAACGCCCAAGGATGACAGCAGGTCATACACCGTGAAACATTAAAGCTCTAAAGAGTGTCACAAAGTGAAAAAGCAATGCCCCTGGCTCCTTACAAGTCAGTGTCCCCGCTGCAGATCTTAAGATGAGTAAGTGGATATGGCTGCAATCAAAACAATGCTTATATCACTATTTAAAAAAACATATCCCAGAAAGGAATATAGGAATAGAAGAGGAAATCATGGTAGTACCCATCTTTCACAAACAGTCTAGAATTTCAAGCCATTAGATATTTCAAGAACAGTACCGTGCATTATTGCCAGTCAGGCTGAGAGAGCCATCTCGAGTTCATTAATGTACCTGCAGCATTGGTAATAAATACTCTCAGTGATTTTTAATTTCTTTGAAGTGCATTATAGGGAGCTTTTTCTGTATTAAAAATAGTGTTCTACAGTAGTATCAAACAGGATGTTTGAAATTTAAGAGGCAAGCAGTAACTCTGCCACCATAACACCTTTAAAGCAAGATGGCAAGATTAGTAGTTTCCTGTACCTCAGTCACCACATTTTCCCCAACCACTTCAGTGACAGATATGTAATACATTCTATATATTACTACCACTAATAATTAAAAAAAAAAAAAAAAGGCCATGTGCTTTAAAACGATGCTTTGTAAAAAGCAGCATCACCTTCAAAGGATTTCTTCTGAAACATCGCATTCTCCATTCTTTCCTGCTCCTGATACTTCCTGTACGCTCTGTGGCACCTGGTATACAAATTCATCTGGGGCAGCTGGACCTGGCTTCCCACCTTTCGGGGTATCATACTGGGCCTGGGCTGAGGAGCAGCTGTCAGTCCTGGAGAGAAGTGTATTGTAAGTTCCCACTAGCGGGGGAGGCTGGTTCCCCGTAGCTTTGAAAGTGGATGTGGAGGGCAGAGCAGCTGAAGCTGTGGGGTGCCCGGACATGTCCATGATGATTGGGGTTGCATACTCGGGCCCCGTGATTGGGAGTGGTTCCGCATAGGCATGATAAACTTCCTGCACCGGTGAGTTGTAAGGATCTAGGTCTGCATAGCCTGCTTCTTTTCCTTCTTCTGGTTTAAAGGTAGATCTCTGATGAAGTGTACCAACAATTCCTCCTACGAGTGGCTGAGCATACTCTGGGCATCACAAAACGACAGAAAAGTCATTTTACTAGTAAAGGGACTCCATAATTAAGGGTGGCAGCTACAGCACCAAAAGCAAACATTCTTTAGGGTATTTTTGTTGCCATCAACACTTCATCTGCAAGAACTTCAAAAATCAAAATGAAACAAACTGTCTAGTATCTCATAGTAATAATATACCAGAAAGTCTCATTTATGTAATGTTGCATGAAGAGTTTTCACATATGTTGTTTAGATTTACAGACAGAATATTTCTTTACTGAATATTTTCTTTCTGAACTTTTTTCAGACTATCTTATTGGAAAAGAAACATTCAATTACTGGAATAAGTATTAATCTTGAAAAATAATTTCAGAGGATTTTTTTTCAAATATTAGGAAATATTTAAATATGTACTAGGTTAACAGGATAAATACTGTAAAGCTTCCTCTGTCTTTCCTGTTCTCCTAACATCTCGGGTCTCCCCACA